CTCCCTGGCCCACCTGCCTCTGAGCCACGGGGCCCTGCCCCTCTCCAATCCTTGCTGCCCCGCAGACCAATCCTTGCTGCCCCAGCAGCTATGGGGAAGGCGGGAGGGAGAACAAGGCGGAAAGTGGCCCAGCGAGCTCCCAGCTCCCACCCTCCGGGCCACAGGGACACAGGCCCAGAGGGGGCAGGCAGATGGGGGGGGCCCAGGTCCGACCTCTGCCGTCCGGCTGGACCAGGAGTGGCCTCCCCCACGACACAGCCCCTCCCCATCCCTCTGGCTCACAGGCCGCGCTCAGCTCCCACTGCCTCCTAAGCCTCACCCCTCCAGCCTCACCTCCCACCCCTCCCATGCTCCCCACATCCCCAGGAACCCCGCCTTTCCACCGGCCTCCCCCACCTGCCCAGACCTTCCCACCTTCCCTAGAAGCTGCTCCTGAAGCCCCCTCGCCTCCCCCCGGCCCGGTTCTGCACACGACGGTTTCTCCTTCACCCGGGCCCTGACACACTGAGCCTTGTCCCATCTTCCAGCTCCTACCACCCGCCGCCTGACGCATCTTCCCCTCCAGACCGTGAGCTCTGTGGGGCCGGGCTGTTCTGAGTCACCTCCTGAACACCCCGTCACTGGGCAGAGAGGGCACGGAGACAGAGGCCAGGGATGCTATCCAACCGGTGGGTGCTTGGGCGGACGGACAGGCAGGGGGGCGGGGGACCGGTCCCCTGGTGGTGGCTTATCTTTTTCTGGGTGTGAGTGCCGCTCCACCTCTCACCTCTGGGGTGGCCCAGAGGGTCTCTGGATGCCTTGCCCTCCTCTCCTCCAGGGGGGGCTAGAGGAGGGGCCTGAGGCAGGGGTGGTGGGGGGGGCAGAGATGAGCCCAGGATTATACAGTGAGCAGGGCCCCCTTTGAACTGAGACTGACCCCTGCTCCCCCTCCATCCTGGAGCCCCTCCTCTCATGAGGTATTGGGGGTCTGGTCCCATCAGCACGGGCACTGGGTCATGACCGGGGTGGGGTGGCACTGGCACAGCCACACCCCGCCTGCCCTGCCCGCCCTTGGCCACTGCACAAACCCACCATTCTTAGTCAGACAAAGGCCGGCTGGCTCTGGGGTCTTCCTGGTGGGAGCCCGGCCTCTGCAGGACATTAGCGATGGGCTCTGGTGGCCAGGGCTCTGCTCCTGGGGGATGCAAATCGAATTAGCCCAGCCCAGCCCTCAGCATAGAGCTACCAGGAAGAGAGGCAGCTGCTAGACTGTGGGGTCATGTGCTTGCCTCTGGTCCTCTCCCACCCCCCTGCCCAAGCTGCCAGACCACCAGTTTGAGGGAGACATTTGAGGTCTTCTGGGAGGTGGTGTTTAGAAGTGCTCCTAGTGCAGGGCGCACACACAGCAGAGGGCCACCTGCCACGGGCACTGACCCCTGCTGCCCACCACAGCCCGGCCCTCAGGCCCTGCCCTGGTGCCAGCTCAGAGCTCAGGGGCAGCCCTGCCAGGCCTCCTCCCCCGGGACCCACATCCTCTGGGCTGGGTGCCTTGGGACAGAGAGGCAGGGAGCACTGCCTTGAGCCTCTGTGGGGCCGTATATCCTCATCCATTCATCCATCTATCCACCATCCATCCATCTACCCACCCACCATCCATCCATCCATCTGTTCAACTAGTGTTTATTGGGCACCTACTTGGTGCCGAGTCCTGCCCTCCTGGAGCTCCAGACCCATGGCAGGGGGTAGGGCAGGCAGGGAAAGAACAGGCTGTGGCCATTCCTGTGGCTGGTGTCAGGATGGGGAGGACTTCGCAAAAGAGGCAGTTCTCGGCTGGCCTTGACAGGTGTCCCCCACACCCTGACTCCGTCACCTAGGCCGAGTCAGCCTGGCCACGCTGACCACACCAGGCTCCGGGGTTCAGGAAAGAGGGCCCGGCCACCAGGGCTCCTTGGTGCTTCATGCCTGCAAACAGTGCCTGCCTCCAGCCAGTCCCAGTGGGCGGCCCTGCCACAGAGCCCAGCCCAGTCCTGAGACCCAGGGAGAGAAGGGGGCTGGCCCAGGACCACACAGACCAGGCGGGCCTGGGGGGTGGGGGGGAGAAGGGTCCTGGGCAGAGTGGTTGAGCCAGCCGGCGGGGCTGGAGGCTCTCTTCACAGCTCCAGCAGGCTATTCCTTGAGCAGGGTGGTGCCCACTCAGCTGCAGGAGTGGGCACCAGCTGCCGCTGCCTGCTGGCCCCCCAGCCCTGCTTCTGAGTCAGCCTCTCTCCATCACCTGCCCCTGGGCTGGGGCCCCCAGTGGTATCTAGGGGCTCCTGGGAGTTCTCCCAGGGGTTCTTGGGCAGGTCAGTCAGACTGGGCAGCTGGATGGGGCACCGTGAGCCTCACTACCTCTTCGCAGTGGCATGGGGGACAGTGCCTCCCCTCCCCTGGTTAGCTGCAGATGGGGAGCAGGCTGTTCCGAGTGCTGAGCAGGCCAGTCTGTGGTGACTCCCAGAGAGGAGTGGTGACCCCCTGCAAGTTAATGGGTCACCCATTATGTCTCTTGGCTCTTCCCAGGAGAGACGGCCCAGGGGAGGTCAGGCCTGTGGAGCCGTGGAGAAGGGGCTTCCAGAACCCCATGGGACTGATTGAGCCCCGGCCAGGAAAGGGGGCCTGAGCTCAGGTGGGGTCACAATGACACCTCTGAGGCTGACGGGAGCCGTGCTGGTCCGGTGGGTACCCCCCAGGCCCCCTCCACCCTACCTCAGCAGGCAGATCTCAGAGCCCCACGCTGAGATCTGCCCCGGAGATGCACAGACCACGTCCCTGGCCCAGGGGGCAGGCCACCGGCTTGTCTGACCTACTGCCTGGGAGCAGCCACCTTATGAAATGGACAATGCATCATTCTCATGCTATGGGTGGGGAGCCTGAGGCTCAGAGGAGGGCTGTCCCGGGGCCCAAGGTCTCAAAGCTGAGACATCTGCCTGGGATTGGACGGCAAGCAGACTGGCTCCAGAGGCCCCCAGCCCTGGGCATGGCCTCGGACCTAGCCCCACCCAGCCCCCTTCCTGAGGACCCTAAGACCCCAGCAGGATTCCTGGCAACCTGACCAGACCTCCCAGCTCTCCGTTTCCTGTCCTCAGTCTGGCACCCCCCCCCCCCCAGCCCTCGAGGGTTCCTGGAGGGAACCTTCAGGCCTAGGGTGAGGGTAGGGCGGGGGGGGGGGGAGGAGCCTCAGGCCAGAGCTGAGCCTGGGGGTGGCAGGGTGGCTAGGCTGGCCACCCCCCACAGTTTTCAGACCTCAAGGAGTCACCACGAAATTCCATTCTCCTGACAGCAAAGAAATTGAATCACTCTCGCCAAAGCCCAGGGCCCCCACAAGAATGCTGTCAGGCTTTGTGCTGCTGTTCCCAGACAGGCAGCCGCACCCGGTGCACACGTCCCCCCCCCACCAGCGAGTGGCAAGCTGGTGGCCCGTCTCTGCCAGGCTGGGCCAGTCCCTGCTGTGCAGTTGTGCCCGCTGCCACCTGGCCTTCCGTGCAATGGGCACATCTCCCTGCTGCCTGGGGCGTCCGTGGCTGCGGGGCACTGGCTGGGAGTGCGAGTCACAGAGAGCAGAGGTGTCCCAGGGTGCAGGGGGCCCTGCCCCGGGGAGGGGCCTCATCCAGTGGGCAGCTGTCCCTCCGGGGCTTGCAGAATGCTCAGGCCTGGTGGGTACCCCTCCCCAGGGCTGCTCCTCCACCCCAGGAACGGGGTGCAGCTCACTTGCAAAGGTCTGGGGGCTGGCCAGTGGCTGGGCTGGAGGAGAGGGAGGCAGGACTGCACAGAACAGCAAGAAATGGGGCTGGACTAGTGACCAGGCACATGGACACTAGGCCAGGACTGGGACTGAGGTGAGGGGGTGCCCTGGAGGGTTTTGATGTGTTCCTGTGTGCGTGTGTGTGGGGGCACATTTCGAGCTGAGGGGTTCTGGGTGGGAGATAAATAAACCAGTAGATTGGGGACCAGGAGATGGGGGTTCCGGGGCTGCCCAAGGGAGCCAGGGGAGAGAAGGCAGTGGTGGAAGCTCTGTCTCAAAATAGTCCAGACTTGGAATGGAGGGGCACTGCTGATGGGGTGAAGCACACAGTGGCACCCAGACTTTCAGGCCAGAGAACGGGGCTGGCCTGCAGCTCAGCAGGCTGTTTGGGGGGTGAGCTGTCCAGTGGGTTCACTTTTTCTCCTGCCCACCCCCTTCTCTCCAGCTGCCTGGAGGCTCCCAGGCTGGGCTCTGGCTGATGGGGGAGGGGTTTATGGCAGGAGGTGACACCGCGGGAGCCTTGTCACTTGGGCACAGCCAGCACCATCTGCTCAGGCATCTGCCTGACTGAGGTGGCGCCTGCTAATTACCTGGGGGGGCTGGTGGCAGGAAGAGGCCTGGGAACCTCCATCCCCCAGCTCACCCAGCACAGAGGGGCTGGGGCTTCGGAGCAAATGGGCCGGAGCCCCTTGCGCAGGCATCTGCTAGGACCATTCCCTCAACAGAAATCTTCGTTTAAGGAAGTAGGTAAATAAAGACATTTTTGCAAAGCGCCTACTATGCTGCAGGCCGGTTTTCTTGCTGTTGACATTCACGCGGAGGGATGCAAACAACTGAAAATGCCTGGGCGGACAGCAGAGGGAGACGCGCAGGGGTCAGCGCTAGAGAGACAAGGGGCCAATGCACAGAGTGAGCGCGGACGGGGACCCAGTGTAACCTGGTGGTCACGGGGGCAAGGCAGGAGGGGAAAGAGGTGCAGCCAAGCGGAGAGCCGCCCCCATCTGGGCTTCCGGACGAAGCCGTAGCCTGGGGACTCAGGTCCCCGTCCCACGCTGGAGGGCCCTTGGCCACTTCCGGGCGCTCACCCCTCACCCTCCACCCAGACTGCAGGCACACATTCCTGCCGCCCCTGCGCGTGCGGGTGGGCGGGGCCGGCCGGTGGGAAGGGCCGGGGGTGGTGGCTGCCGCCGTGTGCCGCAGAGGGGGGCGGCGGGGGGGGGGCACAGCTGGGCCACATCTGGCCGGAGCACGGAAGGACCAAATGGAACGGAAGGCCGCCTTTCATCCTGTGCGGGAGGGACGACCTTAGTTTCTTCGCCACGGGGCGCCTGGAGGATTTCCGGGGACCAGCACCGCGACATTGGGCCAGGGCTCCGAGGAAATTAGCTGGGGACTGGGGGTGGAATTTGGTACAGGTGCTTTCTCGCTAGATCCTCCTGTCCCTCCCTACCTGTGGCTCAGATGGCTCCAGGATATTGAAATCTGCTGCTCTGACCCAAGCCCTCAGGCCCGCCCGGGCAGGTGTGGCCCGGTTGTTTGGCTGGCACTGGCCCATGGGGAGAAAGACAGGCTTGGTGAAGGGAAGTGCAAAGCGAGGAAGTGAGAGAGGAACTCTAGTTTAAGATTTTAGTCGTCGTGACGGTCGATAGGCTGGGTGGCGAGTGCACGTGGTGGAGCTAATGTTCCAGCAACTGGAATAGGCCGCCCACGTGACTCGGGGAGGTCGCCAGCAATCCGACCTTTGTGGACCGTCCCTGATACAGACACGGAGTTGATCGGCGGGTAGAGAAATGCTAGGAAAATCACAGCCGGGCTGCAACTCTTATCCGACTAACCTTTCTTTTTCTTTTTCTTTTTTTTGCCAAAACTCTTACCTACACTTTCTTCACCTTGTAAAAAGGTCCGCTTGAGATGAGAGGCTAAGACGGGTTTCAGGGTAAGAAGCCGCCCGCGTCTGAGCAAGGCGCCCACGAATGTCCAATCCTCGCCCGTCTCTGGGCTGGGGAGTGAAGGGCAGCAGCAGGAACGCCGATTTTCCGGCTTCACAAGGACGTCCGGAGCAGGACGCCGGAGCCCGCTGCCCCTGTCCCAGAATCTCGGTCACGGCGCCGAGGGCTCGCCCCTCCGCCGGCTGGGCGCCAGGGGGCAGCCCCCGCCGCCGCGGGCCAGCCTGGGTTCCCCCTTTAAGGCCACAGGACCGGCGGCCTTAAAGCCGCACCTCCCTCGGTTGCCCGCCCCGGTAACTCGGGAGCTGTGGGTGTGTTCGGAGCACAAAGGGCGGAGCCTGCAGCGACCTCCGGTGGGTTCCCAGACCCCTGCGGCGGCCCCACGTGGGCGCTGCGGGGCCTAGGGGGACACAAGGCGCTAGGCCCCGCCCGGAGAGGCAGTCAGCGCGTGGCGGGGGCGGGGATTCGGGGCGGGGCGTAGATGAGACCCCGCCCTCGAGGGCGGAGCCAGATCCGAGAGGTTTAAGAGGGCAGGGCGCCGGCGGTGCGCCGCTGGACGTGCTGCAGGACCCGCGGATCCCAGCGCGGGTGTGTGGGGCAGCGCTCACCCCACGATGCTCAAGCGCTGCGGCCGACGCCTGCTGCTGGGTCTGGCGGGCGCGCTGCTCGCCTGCCTGCTGGTGCTCACGGCCGACCCGCCGCCGCCCCCGGTGCCCGCCGAGCGCGGCCGGCGCGCGCTGCGCAGCCTGGCGGGCCCCGGGGGGGTGGCCCCGGTGCCAGGGCTGGAGGCGGAGGCGGCGGCGGCGGTGGCGCCCGGCGCTCTGGCACGCGAGGTGCACAGTCTGTCTGAGTACTTCAGCCTGCTTACCCGCGCGCGCCGAGACGCCGGCCGACCGCCCGGGGGCGCCTATCGTCCCGCTGACGGCCGCCCGCGGCCCCAAGCAGAGCCGCTCGCGCCCCAGGACGTCTTCATCGCGGTGAAGACCACCAAAAAGTTCCACCGCGCGCGCCTCGACCTGCTGCTGGAGACCTGGATCTCGCGCCACAAGGAGATGGTGAGCCCCCGCGGCCTGGATGGGCGGGGTGGGGGCCCAGCCGCATTCAGCCAGTGGTAGTCTCTCCCGGCGCCAGGCTGCATCTCTGTTCAGTCACCGGGAGTGTGTACCAGGAGCGACGCCCGTTCATCCCCTTCCAGCCCAGTTTTCCTGTCACGGCCACTCTCGCCAGACAGCTGTGGACGTGTAGGAAGGGACCCGTCCCCGCAAACCTCCAGAGTCCTGGATGGCGCGCACCGACCTTACACCTGCCTCCAGTGCTCGGCGTTGGTGCTCGCTGGCGCTTCTCGAACGTCGGAGCGCATCAGTAGGGCGTCATGGTCCCCAAACCTCCCCCAGGCAGGTTCTGCCTGGGGCGTCCACCCTGGGGAGAACGACTTTCCTAAGAGGTGGAATGAGGGGTGAGGATCCCTGGGCTCAGGCAGGCCCCCTCCGCAGCCCAAGTCTTTGCGTGGGTTGGGGAACAGTCATTCCAGAGGGTGCTTGGGGCTGGGGTGGGGGTGAGTGAGCCCTGGGGAATACATCCCCACAGAAAGAGAGCCCTGGGTTTGGGGTGTGAGGAGACGCTCCCCGCGCCGCGCAGGACACTGGAGCCAGGACCGTGTCCATGCACCTCCTGTGCACTGGTCTCCTGCGCGAGCTTAGCAGACACACCCCGCTTTGAAATCGCCCTCCAGGCTGCAGGAGACGGTTGCTGGGGCCCAGACGGAGTGTGGGCCCTGCCAGGGGAGGGGTGGCTAGGAGACTGAAGGGGACTGAAGGGCGTTTTGGATGAGGGTGAGGGACCCTTAAGTGGTGTGGGTACCCGGAGGAGCCACCTCACCTCTTCCTCTCTGCCTAAACCCTCCAAGTGGGAGGCCTGCTGGCTCTGCTGAGTCCCGTCCCCAGGCCGGGCCCTGGTGAGGTCATGGCGAGGCCTAGGGGGCAGGGTCCTTTTTGGTTCCGGCATGGGGAGGGGCCCCTGGGAACCCCTCAGCAGCCTCCTGGGAATGCAGCATGCTTTTCCCAGGGGCTCAGCGGGCTGGCGGGAGGGGGCATGGGTTTTGTCTGGCGGCCGGGCCGTTAGGATTCCCAGCGCGGGGCGGCTCTCACGCCGGCCTCTTGGGCAAGGTAACAAAGCCCCTTTCTCCAGTCGAGAAAGGCCTCCGGTCTCTTGTGTGCAGCTATGCGCTCCATGGGAACCGCCGCCGGCACTGGCCACTCAGGTTGCCTGGCGATGAGGGGCGCTTCCACCCCCCCACCCCGCCCAGTCCCTGACCGACGGTCCTGGTGGGGCTACATCCCTGAGACAGGCCCCTCCCCCCACCCTGCATCCCTGCTGTGTGACCTTCCGCAGCATCCATACAGCGCTGGGCTGCCTTCAGCCCTGAGCACTTCTGGTTTGGACTTTGGGGGCTTCCTCCAGCAGGAGGGATGGGGTCGAGGGTCACAGGTGCCAGTCCCAGCCCGACTGGGCGGTCCTGAGTGAGACCTGGGGCCTCTCTGGGCCTCAGTCTCCCGGTCTGAACCTGGGGAAGCTCCATCTCTGCAGGTGGAGGGAGTTCACCCCAGGAGCACGCAGTGTGCAGGTGAGGCCTCACTCCCACCCTGACGCAGAGCCACTCAGGTTTCCATCCTGACCACTGACCCCAGCCGGGCAAGGCCAGGTCTGCCCCCAGCATCAGTTCCTGTGTCCCCGAGAGCAGCAGCCCCCACTGTGGAGGGTCCGCCTCCCGGCCCCAGCTCAGGGTGACTCAGACCTGTCTGAGGGAGGAGAATCCAGGAAGCCAGGGCTGCGGTGGGGAAACCCGGACAGGCTGTGCGAGCCTGAGTGGGCATCTGACCCACGAGAAGGGAGCCGGGGGAACTTCCTGGAGGAGGTGCCTCTTGAGCTAGACTGAGAGTAGAAAATGCCCAGAAAGAGCCCGTCGGGGATTATGAACACATGCTAAGGGGTTGTCTAAGCAACTGCCAGCTATTGCAGTGACTGTGGGGGTCCCGGCAGGAATGGTCACTGTGTGGGGCCTGGAAGTCTGGGAGCAGGGGTCGGGCCTTTGGCCCACATGGTCCTCCCTCACCCCGCCCAGCCGCGAGTTGGCCAGGCTGCGGTGGCAGCGGCCACAATGGTCGAGGGAGAGCTTGGCATCCTGTGTTTCTTTGAATCGCAGCCCCAGGAACAATGCCGCTTCCTGTGGGTGTCCCCCTCCCCCACCCACCCTCACCAGCCCTGCCGCCCTGATCTTCCTCCTCCTGCCCCTTGTCAGGGAAGTGGGGGGGGGCCAGGGATGTCTGGGTCCCTGGAAGGCAAGGCGGGCTGGATTAGCAACCCCTCTGTCCCAGGGCAGGACCCCGGCCCGGAGGCTGCCCCTCTCTGGCCTCAGTTTCCCCATTGGCACACTCGGGTCGTAACAGTGCCCAGGGGCACATGTGAGTTCTGGTTACACCCACTCTACTGAGCGGGAATCCACTCTGAGTGGCGGGTGAGGCCTGCAGCCCTTCCCCTCTGCTGGCTGCCCTGATGTGGGCAGACAAGAGGGCCAGTGCCCCTCCCACAGCCCCACCCTGCCAAGCACTCCTCCCGGCCGGGCAGCCCGGCTCTCCCGAACAAAGGTGACTTCAATCTGTGTAGCCTTGGGCCTGGGTTTTAGGGCGCCACCAAGCGCGGGAGAACAGGCCTCTCTTGATCTCATTAAGAAAGCATTTTCCTTTTAATCCAGTGTCTGTACGGACGGCCTCAGCCTCCCACGGCATTCCTGGGCTGAGATGCTGGGGAGCGGGCGGGGGGCTGGGTGCGAGTCTGTGCGTGCGGGCTGCCCTGGGGCGTCTGGCCGCTCTGTGAGGAAGGCTGTGTGGGGAGCCTGCCACCCCCAGCCCTAAGCCATGATCCCCAGCTTGTGGCCACACCTGAGTGTGTGCTCAGGTCTGGGGTCAGACTGGGCAAGGAGCTGGGGCCGCCCAGGTGAGGTGGGCACCCTTGGTGGGCCCTAAGTCCCTGGGTGTGCACAGTGGGCCAGGCCTGCACATGCCAGATCCTCCCTGAGACCCATTTGTACACAGAAGGAAACCGAGTCCTGTCAGGCGTGGAGGTGGAGGTGGGGGATCTCCTGTAACTGGCGCTCAGAGCAGCTCCCCTGGCCCCAGGCTTTGCAGTCAGCCGGGCCTGGGTGCGCCCCGGCGGCACGCGCTGGGCGGGCTGGGCAGAGGAAGGAACATTCCTCCCGTGTGCCGACCGGCCCAGGCGGGCGCCGGCAGCTCCTGGCCCCGCCCTGTGGCCCCCACCTCTTCCAAGGCATGATCCTGGCAGGGGCGGCCTTGTTTGGGCACAGGTGGAGCCTTGATGTGACTGAAGCCAGGCCCGTCTTCCAGCCCCATTTCCAGCCCCGGGAGGGGGTGCTGGGCAGCACAGGGTGCCAGGGGCACTGCTCCGTGGGCTGGGCACGTGCGGCTTCCCTCTTCCTCTTGGACCGTCAGCGTCTCCAGAGACCAGCGGTGGCTGCTTTGGCTCAGAAGGTGACCTGCCCACTGGTCACCCAGCCAGGGATGTGGGGGTCCCAGCTTGATGGCCCAGCCCTGAGGACTGTGGTGCTGTGGCCGTACCTTGCACCCAGGCCGGCCCAGTTAACCAGGCCAGCTGTATGATAATGGGCAGTATGGCCAATCTCACTTAACGCGGCCGAGTTAAGGCCTGCCCGGCACCCCTCGCCCGAAGCCGGGACAAAGCTGGCGGACAATGCCTGGTGATTCATCCTCCCTCCAGGCCCTTTGTCCGCCAGGACTTGGCAGCCGCCCAGCGGAGGCCTTTGTCCTCGACTGATTGAGACTTGGCTTCCCAAAGCCGACCTCCTCCGCCCGTCCCCACCACCCTCTGCCCCCTCCCCCAGGTCGGTCGCTGTGTCAATAAGGGTGTGTGCCCGGCCAGGTGCACTGGGCGGGCCTGGAACCGGTTACCTGCCGGGCGGCGGTGGGCGGGGCGCCCCACCTGGCTCGTGCCAATAGAGCTGCTGGGTGACCCTGGGCCCAGCTGTCGGCTAGAGGGCTGGGGTCTGCAAAAGCCCCAGCCTTGGGTCCCCTCTGTGTGCCTGGGGAAACCGAGGCCCAGAGAGGGGTGGGGCACGGGTGTGACTGGGTTGCAGCTGCCGGATGGCCAGGAGGCTCAGCCCCGAACCTGAACCCTGGTGGGACCCGGCGGTGGCCCCACAGTGGGGGACTCAGCCGCCTGTTCAAGGCCACATTTCTTCTTACAGACGTTCGTTTTCACCGACGGGGAAGACGAGACCCTGGCCAGGCACACGGGTGAGCCGGGACTGGGGAGGTGCGGGGGCTCCACTCCCAGGAGGAAGTTGTCCCCCCATCCTCTCCCCTCCGGAGAGGTCGCAGAGGCCACGGGCAGTTTACTCAACTGGTTTGCTCAGTGCCCCGCCCCACCACTTGCCCCCCCCAATTCTCATGCAAATGAGGCCCTTTCAGCTCCCAGGCCCCTTTGAGCTGCCGTGGCCCCTTTGAGCAACAGGTGGCCGGTGCTGGGAAAAAGCCGCCTGAATGGGTAGGGGCGGGGCCAGCGGCGGGGACGGGGTTGGGCTGAAGGGGGGGGCCATCACCAGGCCTGTGTCTCACACGGGGAGGGGGCTGAGCGGGGAGCCTAGTGCAGGGCGGGCTGTTCGAGGAACCCAAGGCGCCTGCCCAGGATGGAGAGCCCCCGCCCTCTGGTGCTTTGCTCCCCTGGCTGCTGTGTGAGCCCAGGCCAGGCTGTCTTCTCTCTCGGACTGAGCTAGAGCCCCCTGTCCACAGGCAACGTGGTCAACACTAACTGCTCGGCCGCCCACAGCCGCCAGGCCCTGTCCTGCAAGATGGCAGTGGAGTACGACCACTTCATCGAATCGGGGAGGAAGTGAGTGTGGGCCTCCAGCTGGGCCCCTCCCACCCCTTGCCCAGATCGGACCCCACTCGGGTCCCCTGACTGTCCGGCTTGCCCCCAGGTGGTTCTGCCATGTGGATGACGACAACTATGTCAATGTTCGGGCCCTGCTGCGCCTACTGGCCAGCTACCCCCACACGCAGGACGTGTACATCGGCAAGCCCAGCCTGGACAGGCCCATCCAGGCCACGGAGAGGGTCAGCGAGAACAAGATGGTGAGCGGTCTGTCCGTGCATGCCTGAGCCAGCTGGGAGGAGGCCGAGGGTCTCTCAGCCTGTGGTAGGGGGGGGTCTCACCACGGTGCCCCATGTTGCAGCGTCCTGTGCACTTCTGGTTCGCCACGGGTGGGGCTGGCTTCTGCATCAGCCGCGGGCTGGCCCTGAGGATGAGCCCTTGGGCCAGGTGAGTGCCCAGGGGCCCAGGGGTGCAGGGGAGGCTGCTGGAAGGGCCAGGTGGCTCTAGGTCTTGAGGTTCCCCCAAGTGGGGTCTGGCTTGTTCACGGCCCAGAAGGGGTGCTCCTGACCTCACGTGTAGGCTGAGCTGTGGTCGGTCCCCAACATGTCCACTTCCTGGCAGCAGGCACCAGGGTGTTAGCACCCAGGGCCAAGGGCCACTGGGCAGGGCACCTTGCTGCACCAGCACCTCCCGACCACCAGGAAATCATCAGGTTGGCACAGAGCGGGGCGCCGCATTGGGGCTCAGGGAGGGACGGGAGAGCTGCCAGCAGAGAGCCCCTCAGGGACCCAGACATGGGCAGCGCCCTACTCCCTGGGGCTCATCTGCCCCTCCTCCGAGCCCAGCTCCCTCACTCTGTGCAGCCCCTGGCTGGCAGGGTTCTGCCCAGCGCCCAGTGGGCAGCGGGCTCCTGCCTCTGCTCACGTTGCAGCCCTTCGCTCCCGCAGCGGGGGCCACTTCATGAGCACGGCGGAGCGGATCCGGCTGCCGGATGACTGCACGGTGGGCTACATCGTGGAGGCGCTGCTGGGGGTGCCCCTCATCCGCAGCGGCCTGTTCCACTCCCACCTGGAGAACCTGCAGCAGGTGCCCACCTCGGAGCTTCACGAGCAGGTGCGCCCACCCGGATGGCGGCAGGGGGAGGGCGGAGAGCGGGGCTCGCTGTGAAGACTCGGAGGTCAGGGAAGGCCACCCAGACCCCCAAAGATCCCTGCCACACGGACCCACTCAGAACCTCATGTCCATCCTGCTGAGGTCCGTCTCCAGCTCGACACGCCTGCTCTGTGCCCCTCGGGTCTTTCCCTATGTCAGTGGGTGCTCTCGCGGGTGGTGCTCTGCACCTTACTTTTCAGGTGCATGGAGCAGGTGGGGCATGGCGCCCTGTGCCCAGTGGCCTTCCTTCTTGGTCTGAGAGGTGTAGGCAGGGCTGCCCCCCAACCTCTGGTTAAGAGCCAGAGCGGGGCACTGGGGCCCTGCCTGGCATCACCCTGCCCCTCTCCACACAGGTGACCCTGAGCTATGGCATGTTTGAGAACAAGCGGAATGCGGTCCATGTGAAGGGGCCCTTCTCGGTGGAGGCCGACCCGTCCAGGTGAGGGTGTCGAGGCCCACTCGAGGCAGGGGCTCGCCAAGGGTTGGTGCCCTGGGGGTCTGGCAGCGTTGGAGCCGGATGTCCCTTGGCATTTCGACTATAAAGTGTGCCCCCGGGACCCCTGCTCGGGGCAGAGGGGGTCCCTCCGCCCACATGGACCAGCCCTGCACTCTGTCCCCACAGGTTCCGGTCTATCCACTGCCACCTGTACCCGGACACACCCTGGTGTCCCCGCACCACCATCTTCTAACAGCCTCAGCTGAGACCCCGTCCCCGGGCACCCCTGGTATCCAAAGGGCCTGGGGACCCCCGTTGTGCCCCCTGGTCCCGTTGTTCACGGGACCCGGGGCTGTGCCTCTGCCTGTGTGCCGGCGCCTGTCTGCATCGCAGACCGCTGGCCGTCCCGCTCTGCCCATGAGCAGGCCCAGGCCCAGCCTACCTTCGCCTTCTGAAGTCAGCGGGCTCTGGAGCCAGGCCCGGGAAGGGTTCACGTGAAAGGTCACTTTGGGGGCAGTTGTACATTACTCTTGGGTCGTCGGGATGCCCTGCCCTGCGCTGGGCTGGCACATGCCTCCGAACCCCCAGGACAGTTGAGTCCTGCAAGAGGCTGGGTTTGGGGGTCAGCAGCCCAGTCTCCTCTTCCCTCTTGAGCTCTGGCCTGGGCACCTTAGCTCAGGGTGACAGTGGCCTTTGCCCAGGTCCGGCAGCCCCAGAAGCCCCCACCCAGTGGCTGTGTGGCCAGGGTTCAGGGGCTCCCCCAGCCCTCTGGATGGGGGTCTTCCCAACCCGCTCTCTCCTTTGTCTCCCCAAGAAGGGGGCCAGAGCTGAGCACGTTATCTCCTCTCCAAAGTAGAGAGAAAGTCGCCCATAGTGGGTGTGTCTGTACATATTGTGACAGTATTTTTTTACTGTGTTTGTTTTTCAAAAGAGGGTGAGTAAAAAGGCCGGTGTTTCTGTCTTTGTTTTCGGGGAGCGAGGGAGGGTGTTATCACTTTTCTGTGGATTAGAAAAAGCAGAAGTCACATTGGGATCCCCTCTGAGGCTGAAGCCAAGATGTCCATGCTCCGTGTATTTATGTGTCCAGGCACCAACTCTCCCTGGCGACCTGGGTCCCGCCTCCCGCTGGGCGCACCTGGCCCTGGCGTGTGTTCTGTCTCCTGTTTATGTTTCTGCAAAGACATAGCTAGGAAAGCGGACAAAAGGGAAAAGTTCTCAGGGAATCCAAGTGTGGTTGCTATGGTGACGTCCTTTGCTGTGAATAAAGGTGCTCTTTGGGGCCATGTTCTTTGAGGGGTCCTGGTCTGTCTGAGGTCTGCACATAAGTGGGGAGGCGGGCAGAGGACGGTCTTGCTGTGGTCTGGCCTGGGCCCCCTGACCTGGCTGCACAGCCATCTGCGTGTCCACAGAGGTTACATTACTTGTCCCATTTTGCAGATGGGGAAACTGAGGCTTGGAGTGGGTGGTGTCCAAGGTCTGGTAGCTGGGGTGGTGAAGAGCTCAAACCCCAGGGGCCAAGTGGGCCCTGGACCTTGGCCGTCCCCCCTGCCGGAACTCTCTGAAAGAACTCTGCCCCCTGTCCCCCCAGGTCCCTGGAGCTGGGCAGGGACTCAGACTGCCCTTTTCTGTCAGAGAAGCTCTGAGGGCTCTCAGCACCTTGAAGCTGGGGAATTCCCTACCCACTCTGCTGCAGGGACTGGGGCAGCCCTCACTTCCTCTTCCCCCCACAGCCGGGGCCTCCAGCTGCCCCCAGTGGGCCTGGGCTCCCAGCTCCCTCCTCCTGCCTTCACTCTGCCCCAAGCTCCCCCCTTCCCCCTCCCCACCCTGCACCACATCACAGTGGAGAGCCATCTCCAGCCCCCACCCTGACCGTCCCCAGCAGAATGCCAGCCCAACCCCCATTGGCCCCAGGCTCTTACAAACAACCTTGGCTAGTGGCTGGCCTGGGCAGACAGGACCCCACCTTGCCATGGACAGGTCTGAGTGCCGTGTGTGGCTTCCAGAAGGCCATGGACAGTGAATGGGACAGTGGGAGGGAAGGAGTGACCTCACTCACACAGAGGCCCCTGTGTTTGGATACCACTGTGTGCCCTGCCAGGGGTGGGGGCGTGTGTAGAAGCGGCCCCATCTCACGGGGTGGTGAGGGGAAGTGACACAGCAGCCCCGAGTGTGGGCAGAGGCCCTGGGCCCCCTTCCTGCCCGGGTGACTCAGAGGTGCCTTTTGCGGGTAGGACCAGGCCCCGGGGCCTGCCTCTGGCAGCCGGCATCTCCCTGTCTGTGGACCAGGTGGGGCCCCAGGTGCAGGTGTGGCAGATACAGCCTTCATCAGCCTTGGGGCTGTCCCAACTGTCCCTGAGTGTGTGCGTGGGGGCACTGGGTTGGGACAACAGAGCAGAGGGAGGGGAGGCCCTGCCCCTCCCAGAGGCTCCACCTGGCCTCCAACTGGGCAATGGGGACAAAGGTAAGTGCAGCGGAGCTGCTGGTGCTCTGGGCCTGGGAGGGGACCCAGAGGAGCCCAGGCCAATGGTGCTGAGGCCCTGTCCTCTAAACGAGAAGCTGAGGGTTGGACAGGAAGGGGAAGCTCTCTGTCCTCCAAGGGGGGAGCAAGGCCTCCCCCATCAGATGAGTCACGGTGCCAGAAGAGGCGACCTCAGCATGCCCCACCCTCGGGGGTTCATGGTCCCCAGCCCACACACTGGGTGGTGGCCAGTTGGGCAGGGTCCCCACTGGGTCGAGGGGCTCCCCGTCCCCCAGCCTGGCAGGTCCCCAACTGCTGGTCAGTTGTAGCCTTTCAAAAGTAAAACGTGAAACCTCCATGCCCAGTGGGTGGGTGGGGGTGGGGCTGCTGGTGCTCACCTCCCACTGGCCGGCTTCTGGGCTGCCAAGTCTGAGAGGGACTGAGGGGTGCCAGGGTGGGGCCCCTCTTTGCTCAGTTTGAACTTCCTTCCCACTGGGCTGACGTGACCAGCTTCCGTTGAGGCATCTGGACTGGAGCAGGGGTCCCTGCCAAGCTTTGGAGCGCAGAGGGGGGCACTCCAGGTCACAGGCCCCAGCATAGGTGGGTGGGTGGCCCCTATCCATCAAGAGGCCTGCAAGGCTGGGGGACGGGGCAGTTGGGGTCTCTGGGTCCCTGGCCCAGGTGGCCCAGCCAGGAGCAAGAAGGACCTTCCATGGTTCGGTGAGGCTGGACCCTGCAGGTGGCTGTGGCCCGTCCTCCCTCTCTGACGCTGGGGTCTGATGGTAGCTAGGGGGCCAGGGCCAGCCGCACGCTTTAGTGGGACCAGGTGGTGGTCTCATTGCTGCCCAGGCCTGTCTGCCCCACCCCAGCCTCGCCAATCGCTTGGAGGGGTCCCCTGCGGTGCCCTCTCCGGGCCCTGGGCCGCACACATGGGAGGCACTGGGTGTATGGCTAGGAGGTACCCAGGCCCCTGGAGGTTACCATGCTGAGTCTGGGGGCTGGGGGAGTCCCACGGCCCACACCCCACACCTCAGGCCTCCAGGTCCTCTTCTCTACAGCACAACGCGGACCTTGGGCGCCACCTGCTGGCCGGAGGTGGTGTCTTCTCTGCCCCTCTGAATCCAGCTTTCCTAGGGACCTGGGTCCAGACCTGGGGGGCGGGGGGTCAGGGCCCCCAAAGGGTGGGGTGGGGAGGCCCTTGCCGCAGCCTGCAGCCCCATCCTTGCTCTTAAAAATCTACATCATGAATATTTTTTAAAAATAATTTTAGTAATTTTTTAATTGATCATGCTATTACAGTTGCCCCATTTCGCCCCCTTTATTCCCCTCTGCCCTTCACCCTCCTCCCACCGCATCTCCCCCCTTAGTTCATGTCCACGGGCTGCACATGTCTTTGCACATGTGCAGGTGTCTTTGGCTTCTCCGTTTTCTATACTGTTCCTAACCTCACCATCTGTTTTGTACCTACCACTGATGCTTCTTATTCCCTGCACCTTCCCCCCTTCTCCCTCTCCCCCCCTGCTGCTAACGCTCCATGTAATCTCCATTTCTGTGATTCTGTTCCCGTCTAGCGGTTTGCTTAGTTTGTTTTTGTTTTAGGTGTGGTTGTTAATAACTGAGTTTGTTGTAATTTTACTGTTCATATTTTTATCTTCTTTTTCTTAGATAAGCCCCTTTAACATTTCATATAATAAGGGCTTGGTGATGATGAACTCCTTGAACTTGACGTTATCTGAGAAGCACTTTTCTGCCCTTCCATTCTAAATGAAAGCTTTGCTGGATAGAGCAATCTTGGATGTAGGTCTTTGGATTTCATGACTTGGAAAACTTCTTTCCAGCCCCTTCTTGCCTGTAAGGTCTCTTCTGAGAAATCAGTTGACAGTCTGATGGGAACTCCTTTGTAAGTAACTGTCTCCTTTTCTCTTGCTGCTTTTAAGATTCTCTCCTTATCTTCAATCTTGGGTAATGTAATTGTGATGTGCCTTGGTGTGTGCTTCCTTGGGTCCAACTTTTTTGGCACTCTCTGAGCTTCCTGGACCTCCTGGAAGTCTATTTCCTTTGCCAGATTGGGGAGGTTCTCCTTCATTATTTTTTCAAATAAGTTTTTAATTTCTTGCTCGTTCTTGTCTCCATCTGGTACCCCTGTGATTTGGATGTTGGGACATTTAAAGTTGTCCTGGAGGTTCCTAAGCCTCTCCTTTTTTTTTTTTGAATTCTTGTTTCTTAATTCTGTTTGAATGTTTATTTCTTCCTTCTGGTCCAAACTGTTGATTTGAGTCCTAGTTTCCTTCCCTTCACTGTTGGTTCCCTGTATATTTTTCTTTTTAAAAATATTTTATTTATTTATTTTCAGAGAGAAGGGAAGGGAAGGAGAGAGGGATAGAAATATCATTGTGTGGTTGCCTCTCATGCACCCCCTACTGGGCACTGACCTTCAACCCAGGCATGTGCCCTGACTGAAAATTGAACCGGGAACCCTTGGTTTGCAGCCTGCACTCAAATCCACTGAGCTACACCAGCCAGGGCCCTGTATATATATTTTTCTATATTTCACTTTGCATAGCCTTCACTCTTCCCTCTATTTTGTGACCATACTCAACCATTTCTGTGAACATCCTAATTACCAGTGTTTTGAACTCTGCATCTGATAGGTTGGCTATCTCTTTATCTCTTAGTTCAGGAGTGTCAAACTCATTGTCACTGGGGCCACATCAGCGTCACAGTTGCTTTCAAAAGGCCAATGTAATTTTAGGACTGTATAAATGTTACTGCTCCTTAACTAGGGGCAAGGAGCTCGGTGCTGCTGCCGGCTAGAAACAAGGTGGAGGGCCGGATTCGGCCCGCGGGCCTTGTGTTTGCCACCTGTGACTTACTTGAATTTTTTTTTGGAGCTTTGATCTGTTCTTTCATTTGGGTCATTTTTTTTTTCTTGATGTACCTGTTACGTATGAAGGGAGGCGCCTTAGATGTTCACCAGGGTGGGGCAACCCAGGTCACTGTGTTGTGGCACTGTCTGTGGGGAGGGGTCCGAGAGGGAACAATGCCACTTGCTTAGCTCTTTTCTGGATTTCAGTTACTTCCCCTGCTACCCACAAGCAACTGGGCCCTCCTGGTGCTGATTTCCCCGCGGGTGGGTTTGTGTACGTTCTAGGACCCTGTGGGTCTCCCCAACAGACTTTCCTGTGAGGCTGGGAGTTTCTCCCAGTGCCACCACCCCACAGGTGTTTTCAGTCAGAGGTCTGAGGCTTTAATTCCCTGAGCTGAGCCCTGGGTTGTGTGGTCTGTTTCGCTCTCCAGTTGTTCCTCCCAATTTATCCACACGCGAATCTGGGACTGTCCGGTCCGCAACCCGCCCCCTCGCTGGGTCAGCCAGCTGTTGCTGCCTTGCTGTGAGTCCTCTCTGCCCTGCTGCCCGTCTCCACCCCTCCTACCATCTGGATGAATGTTTCTTTAACCCCTTTTGTTGTCAGACTTCCATACAGTTGTATTTTCTGGCAGCTCTGGTTGATTTTTGTTATTAAGTTTGTCATCGTTCTTCTTTTTGTTGTGTGAGGTGGTGTGGTGTATCTCTCTATGTCTCCATCTTGGCCGGAAGTCCTCTAAATAAATTTTTAAATTTTTTTATTTACTTAATTATAGAGGGAGGGAGAAAGAGAAGGAAGGGAAACATCCATGTGTGGTTGCTTCTCACGCGCCCCCTACTGGGGACCTGGCCTGTAACCCAGGCATGTGCCCTGACTGGGTATTGAACCAGGGACTCTTTGGTTTGCAGGCCAGCTCTCAACCACTGAGCCACACCAGCCAGAGAGGATCTTTGTTATTTCTGAAAGCTCTG